TGCAGGGATCAGGGTTGGGTCAGGATTTGGGTCAGGGTCGGGGTTTGGGTCAGGCACAGCAGGCGGTGAACCTTTGCCAGGCCAGGGAGAGCCAGCAGAGGCGGCCCAGCGATAAGGAGCTGCAGGTGGGAGAACAGCACCGAAGGCCGGGCTCTGAAGACCCCCAAAGAGCTGCAGCGCGCATCTCGGAGCGTCAGCACCGTAAATGAGCCCTTGGGTAATTAACGAGCGTGCTCGAAGGCTACGAATGGGCACCCGAGTGGCGGCAGAGCTCCGCTCGCAGTCGCGCTGCGTGCATTGAGATGCAAAGCGACGCTGCCTCCCAGCAGCAGCAATGCTGGGGTCGGTCGGGGTTTTTCCTGCTGGGCTTTCCGTGCTGCCCTGCGGCTCCAGACAGACAGACAGACGCTGTCAGCGCGTGGGGGGGGGGCCTCTGCCGTGAGTTCAGACGGCGCTGAATCACTGCTGAATGCCTCTGGGTTCCCCAGCGAGGACTGCGGGTGTTTTGTGGGCAGTGGTGGCACACAGCTGCAGCTCACAGCCAGCATCGCCCTCCCTTCCCCAGCAGCACTGAGGGGACCGTGGGGCAGAGAGGTTGGAGGACCGTGTTTTTTTTTTTTTTTTTTTTTTTGGGGTAGAGTGGCTGGAGGACCATAGGGGAGAGAGGCTGGAGGACCATGGGGCAGAAAGGGTGGAGGACCGTGGGGCAGAGAGGCTGGAGGACCGTGGAGGAGGGCAGCTGGAGGACTGTGTGGGAATCAGCAGAGGAACGAAACGCAGGCAGAGTTGCAAAGGAGCGGCTTTACTGCTGGCTCGGAGCCGGGAGCTGCCCCGGCACGGCCGTCAATTCCTCTTCCTGCCTTTGCCAACAGCTTTGGTGGGGACGGCAGCGGGCGCCGCGGCCTGGTAGAGCGTGGAGGAGATTTTGTTGATGTAATAAAGGCCGACCATGGAGAAGATGAGGCTGCGAGGGGAGAAGATGAGGCGGCGAGGGGAGAGGAGGGGCGGCCGGGCGCAGCTCGGCGCTGGGGGACGCGGCCTCACTTACCAGGTGGTGACGCAGACCCGATGGATGAGGCCGGAGGCAAAGAGGGCCAGCAGGAGGCAGGTGAGGACTGCGGGGAAAGGGGAGTCAGCCACGCTGCCGCTGCGCTGGGCCGCAAGGACTGCAGGATCAGCAATGCAGCTGCCAGGAGCTCAGCAATGCAGCTGCCAGGAGCTCAAAGACAGCAGCCAGGGCCTCAGCAATGCAGCTGCCAGGATCTCAGCTACAGCAGCCAGGGCCTCAGCAATGCAGCTGCCAGGAGCTCAGCAATGCAGCTGCCAGGAGCTCAAAGACAGCAGCCAGGGCCTCAGCAATGCAGCTGCCAGGATCTCAGCTACAGCAGCCAGGGCCTCAGCAATGCAGCTGCCAGGAGCTCAGCAATGCAGC